GGGGGCAGGGCCACAATCATCCGAGGGAAAACTCTATGGTTTTCCCTCGGATGATTTTGGCCCCGGCCCCAATGTCCCGGACGTGCTTACATCACTTCCGTGTGACGTGCTTGTGGCACGCGCACGCTTTGCACGTGCACAAAGACTCCCGGAGCAAGGCGGGACTCCCCCGCTCCAGGAGACTTGAGTACTTGGCAACCCTATATTCACAGGCATCACACTGGGAAGCCTTGGCCTAATTAATGTTGCTACCTGCTGCAGTTATGATGGTGTTGGAGTTATTCTTCCCTGGTACTGCCTAGGTTTATAGTCTAGAAATGCCTTGCCTTCCCTAGATTTCCCATGAGACATGAAGGAAACAGGGAAAAACAATAACTTTTATTTCTGTCCTGGAATACGGGATCTTCAGAAAAGAAGCTTGAAATTATTTACACTTTAACACACAGCAGTTTCTGGGCTCATTCGGTTTTAACATTTCAGTTGTCATTTACTGGGTGCAGAGATCAGTGAACAGCCAAACTTTATAAACTTTTGAGGTAAAAACTGAGATTTTCCCCCAACCTTGGGGGGGGGGGGGGAATCCTACAATATGAGTGTGAGCTCCCCCTAGCAACTCAAGTTCTTTACCCTGCTTTCTTCCAAACCCAGTCTTTGAAACAACAGTTTCCTGAACAAAGATCTTCCAATCTCACTCTCTGTAGTTTCAAAATCTTATCTGACTCAGACTGACAGTTTCATATATTTTCTTCTGTACTCTTCCACTCCCATCTCAGTCCAGCATTCCATGGGTCTTGATTGGGTGCCTCTTCATGCACATACAGATAAACAGGAGTGTTGGTGATTGACAGAATCATTATGCCCATTCATTATATCACTTCCACCATTGTCCTGACTTGAAACAATCTTCCTGGGAAACTGCTGTTTGCTACATTTTCCCCACCAGCTCCTAACAGTGGTTTAAACATCTGAGTAAGATGCTAATATAACAGCATCAATAATAGAAGGTGGGGTGGGGCTGAAAAAATGACTTGAACGTGGCCCTGGTAAAGGCACTCCCATTCACATGCTAGCTTTTCTTATATTCTTCTGCTTCGTTTGTTTTGATGCTCACCTGTGCTGAAATCAGTGGGCATGCCTAACTCTGCAGTTCTGAAATCAGTTAGGCATGCCTAGTTGTTTTCCTATCACTTTGATCTGTTATTATACTGATACATCCAATTGTAAATAGAGAAGGAATATTTCATTCTCTGATGTACTTACTGTTTTATATGCATTGTTGTAACCTGCCCTGAGCCTTGCTGTGCAGGGCAGGGTGGGCTAGAAATCACACAAGCAAACAAATAAAAGCAGATATTTCTGGAATAAATTATGGAAATACTACTACCACAGTTTTAACCCTTCGGTAAATTTCTATCCTGAACAGTCTCCAGTACCCCATTCCTTCTACTCACTTTTCTACGTACAGAGATGGAATGGACAGAGAAACAGGATTTTGTGCTCCAAGTGTCCTTTTTTTCACTGGAACCAATCTATACATGAGTGGGGTTCAAAGTACTAGGGGAAGTCATGGTAAAGCTTGTTTTTCATGCATGCAACCTGTTTAATGATAATACCACAAAGACTGCTAGAGTACTTCATTCCTAAAAGTACTATAGTTTGTGAATTCTAAAAATATTTCTAGATAAAAGGTATCAATAGCAGTCTCCAGTCTATACATTTTACTATTGTTGATTTCAGTTAAGTTTCCTTATGATCATATCATGTGCTTTGGATGGCTGCTTCTCAGAATCATTCTGCTGATCCTAGTCTGTGCGATAAACCACTTGTGTGGTTCATGCAATTTTCAGTTATGCTAGGAAACCTCACATTAGGGGTGTGCATTTGGATTTACCCAAACCAAAAATATACCTGAAAAACACCTTATTGGTGTTTTTGGGTATATTTTGGCTTCCCAGATGTATCCAGGATTTTTCTGGAGAACCAGAGAAAAATCCCCCCAAAAATCCCAGTTATGTTCGGGAATTACTGGCAAAACTGGGCTGCCCAAAAAAGCCCCAGCCAAACCTGCAGAAGAACTCTCCCAGCAAGATCGACTGTTTTGGTGGGCTCTCTTTGCAGGATCAGTTCTTGGATGTGCTATGTTGGGCAGTCCGGGCTACACCAGGCTACCCAGAAAAGCCCCAGCTGAGCCTGTGGGTCAAACTCTCTCTGAAGGATCCACTCCTGGGCAGGCTCTATTGGTCAGTCCAGGCTAAACCGGGCTCAGCAGAGTCCCAGTAGAGACTGTGGGGAGAGTTCTCCCTGCGTGATCGGCTCCTGGTTGGGCTCTGTTGGGCAGTCCGGTCTAAACCAGGCTGCCCAGCAGAGCCTGTGGGGAGAGTTCTCTTCGCAGGATTGGCTTCTTGGTGAGGTCTTGTGGGCAGTCCAGGTTAAAGGAACCACCCAAAAGAGCCCCAGCTGAGCCTCCTGTCAGCTATTTTTAGCAGCTTTGCTGCTGCTCCCCCCCCCCCCCCCCACCTCCTCTCGTAAAAAACCGTGTTTTTGGTTTGGGTCTATTGAATCCGGAAAAAGTTGGGATTTCTGAAAAATCCCAGATTCAAATACTTTCCCAGTATTGGAATCCAGGTTTTTTGGGGTTAATCCTGATTTTTTTTTCAAGTCCAATTGACCCAAACAACAACAACAAAATCCTGAGAAGGAAAAAATGCACACCCCTACTTTTCATGTTATCCCCACCCCCCAGAAAGTCAGGGGGGAATTCATTTTGAAATTAGTGTGTCAAAAATTATTTGAATGGTCTGCCAGCTAGGCTTCCTAAGGAAGTATCTCATCATTAAACTTTGTCATTTCACTAGAATGATGCATCCAGTGCTTGGTCGTTCAAAAAGAAAATAACAATTCAGTACATTATAAAATGAATGGAAATAGATTTATGATATAGGAACTTGCAAAAAAACAAAACAAAACCACCCTGATATAGTCTTGCTCACCTTTTGGCCTACCTACACAGCCCTGCACAATAATGAACTCTGCCTCACATTGTGGAGAAATGACTGTAGGGTTTAGTGCTCTTGAATCTAGTGGTTCTACTGTAGACCAACATGGCTCCCCTCTGAAACATAATATAATAATATAATAAATGTTTCTATCTTTACATTTCCATACAGGTAGACTGTCTGTTCAATCAGTTTATCTGAGGATCTGCCAAATAATTAATTATGGGGTAAGGTATTATGCCTGGCCAAGAAGAAAAGTCTTCAAAAGGTTACAGCTATTCCAATCACTCTGTGTGTGTGTGCGTTCACGCACATGCACAAATGCATGCTATATCCTTTGTTCTTATCTAAAGCAGACACTGGCCTTATTAATAGTTAAAGCACATTAATGTTTACTGATTAATTCCAATATCTGTTACAAACCAAGTATTTCAGGCATTTCCCAAGGGATAGCCCTAAACCAGAAGAATGGCAAGTTCCTTAGCCACATATGCTGGTGAAGAGAAGGAAGGAAATTTATACAGGATGTGAAGAAATGCACTGGGGGGAGGGTTTGAACTGAGCAAAACCTTCACCAAGAGTTTTAGAAAGTGTTTCTATTTGGGCAGGGAACAGGCAGGAGGGGAGAAGTAAATTCAGTTAGCTTTTCAGCTTCACCTCAGCCATCCTTTTAGAAATTCTAATAGGTCTAGCAAGAGACAATGCGGTGGTCAAGCCCTCCCCCCAAGCAGGGAACAGGGGTTTGGAGTTGGAATTAAGTACTAGAAAGACCAGAAGAAACTCCTGGAGACTTCAGGAAAATATTCTTTGACCTGGCCTGACCTGGTCTGTGGGAGTAGAAAGAGGAATGATAAAACTCCTGGGAGCAAAGGGGAAGGGCTCTTTTGTGCTGATTCCATTGAAGCTGACAGAACTCTTAACTGACGTCTAGAGGAGGCAGCCATTGCCATGTGCTCGCCTACACACCTGAAAGAGGCTTGAAGGTAATGGAAGTCCTGTAAAACATCTGTAACTTTCTAAGCTATGGAGCCTGCCTTATATTTAACATCTGATAGAGCATGTAAAGAGGGAGGAACAGAAGAATCGCGTTTTACCCTTTTCTTTTTAATCCCTTGCTCAAACTTGTACTGTGCTAAGTGTATGCTTGTGAACATTTTCTTTTTAATAAATATTTTATAACTTTTGATACTGGTAGTGGTTCTCTGTACCACACAGATCTCCATTGTCTTGGATACGCTATTTTAAAAGGAGTGTCAGGAGGAAGGGGAGGGGCAGACAGCTGGCAAATGGCTATTTCCCCAACGGTACATAAGGGAGTAAACTGCCCCCATGATAACCATGGGGGGGATAGTGGGAGACACAGATGCAAGGCCTCAGAGCTTGGAAGGGAAGCTGTGAGTCCCGGCCCTCAGAGTGGGCAATTCCTACAAAAGTGGTGGCAGTGGTTGAGCAGAAAGAGGGGGGGCAAGGTGGAATAGGTCAAAGCAGGACCATTCCACTACACAGGGCTTGACATTCTTTCAACATTTCAATACAGTTTTACATTGTTAGATTACAACAGATCAAGAATCTTTTTTTCCTAGCATTCAAAATTCTGTGTAGCTGATTTTTACCTACTAACTCAACATATTCAAAAGCCATTCCAATTTTATTTTGAAATCCAGAGATAATAAAGTTAAGAGGAATGGATTTCATGAGGAAATTATTGATGTCATCTGTGATCAGGACACAATAATCCCTACTCTGTCAGACTTGCACTATGAACAAGACCACAGAGCTTATGGAAGCCAGAGAAAGTAAAATTTATGCTGTTTTGTTCTAAGAACAGAGCCTCTAGAGAAACATTTATTTAGTTAAAATTTAGCTAGTGCCTGCCAAGGAATCTGAACACAGGATAAATATTTAAATGGAAGACAAATTCCTTTGTAATTGCTAAAGTGCATTCAGCTTCATGGGAAACATTTTAGGTTACAATCTGAATAAAGACAAATTAGTTGAGTACAAGCATTTTAATAGCTAAATAAATTAATTGGCTACATCTGCATATCAGTAAAATAATTTTGAAAGAAACAGCATATTTCCCTTATTTTAGATGCTTCATGCATATCACATAGAAATATTGTATATACCATACCGAAGCATACCACTCCCTACTACACCTGCCATCCAGAACTGATATAAATATTTGTATTTAAAATACATTTTTAAATATGCTTCAATATTAGTTGAAGGCACCTGTTAAGTGATCAGCAGGTTAATCAACAAAAAGTTATAGCCCACTGAAAATGCAATATTAAGGTTTCTGTTTTGTTTTTCATCACTGAAAACTTTTACAGTGCTGAAAGCAAAGTGCCGCCACAGACGTTTATGGTCACTAAGTAGTTATTTTCTGACTGCAAAATTTGTTTTTGTAATATGCAAATAATATGCTCTCCATAAGATATAAGAAATCAGTTGTGAGTTTGGTGTATTGCATGAAAAACATAGATTTTAAAAGCCACACTGATCTAATAAATTGGTATGCAACAGAGATCTTCTGTGTGCAGGCTGCCAGCTCACTTCACTGGCAGGACCCACTCCACACATGGAAAAACCTCTCAACTGAAGTGATGGTGTAGATACTGCAGACAAGGTAGTTCTCTTCACTGATCAGAAAAATTATATCTGGAAAAAAGCACTGGGTCAAAGCATAACAAATTTACAGTTGACAACTAAATTCTAATCCTTTTTCTTTTCTTCATGAAATCTTTCCTTTAAAGCACTGCAGATGTTTCCTGGAATCTGCTGGTGCTTTTGAATTAATGACTGGAGTGCAGCCTTTGTCTGAAGATAAAAGAGAAAAAGAAAACTGAGCATCACAACACATTTCAGTAGTACAGTTCAATGGGCACATAAGGCAATCTACTAGAAAAACAATGTAAAATGTATCCTAGGATTATAGGGTTCTATGGCATGCTGGCTCCCTCAGAGATACCTGAAGCCCTGCCTGCAATTTTAGCTTTCTTTTTAAACATTAACTTTCTAAGACCAGTGTTTCTCAAACTGGGGTCCACTTCAGGGAGACCTGCAGGTCCTTTTGTAGGCCCATCCAGCTAATGTGAAAACAGGCATTCCCAGATAGTAAACTGGGGATTGATTTGCCCCAGCTGGATTGGCTGCGAATGGAATGCTGCCACCCAATGGGAATGCTGGAGGGATAATCCCTATATTGTTGTCTCTCCTTCGTAGTGCAGTTTTTTGCCACCTGCAGCTGAAGGAGATGGAAACAGTGCTGGAGCTTAGCTTCAACAGTGATCTGGGTTTTTCTCTTAGTTTTCTGTTTAGGGTGGCTGAACAGCATGAGTAGGGGGAGTGAGTTGTCTGGAGTGAGTGTTCAGTTTGTTTGCAGGTCTATTTTGATAGAGTGGTGAGTGGCTGGATTAATGCGCTGGGTGTGTCTGTCAGCCTCCCCTCCACTTCTTTGGAAGTTTCTTCACATAACCATCTCTCAGCCTTCGTGGTTTCTTAACCCTCTCCACTGTTATCAATTCCCCTTTCTCTAGATTTTACCAGTTGAGTATTTCTGGGGTCATACTGCTTCCCCACCACCACCACCACCACTCCCTCTTCCCACCCCTGCTTTAGATTTTACTGGTCGAGTGTTGCTGGGGTCATTCATAGGTTGTTCTTCATCATGCTGATCAAGTAAAAAAAATATCTGGGAGAACCGGGTTTGATTCCACACTCCTCCACTTGCAGCTGCTGGATGACCTTGGGCAAGCCATAGTTCTGTCAGAGCTGTTCTCTCAATGGCAGTCCCTTTTGAGTTTTGGCCGTATAGAGTTTTGGCCCTATAGAGTTAGGTAGGTTGCTGCCAGGGCCGGAGCTTCCATAGAGGCAAGGTTAGGCACTCGCCATGGGCGTGAGCTGAGAAGGGCATCCGCACCCCACTGGCTTGCTGCCCCTCACCGCCCTCCGCCCCTCGCCAGAAGAGTCACTCACACCAGTTGCCGTGGGCACCCTGCTCCACCCCCTTTGGCTGCAAGGACGCACCCTTTGCGTAATATGAAAAATTCAGTTGGTCCAAAATGTGACAAGCAGGCTACTGTCAAGGTTGGTTATAGGAACTGTATCACCCCTGTGCTAAAAGATATACACTGGCAACCCATTTGTTCCTGGGCACAATTCAAAGTGCTGGTTTTTACACTTAAGGCCCTTAAAGGCTCAGGGTTCAGATTCCTGAAGGACCATCTTGTCCCATTCCATCTAGCCTGCCAGTTAAGGTCTGCCTTCCCAAGCCCTGCTTTCTGTGCTCCTATCTTCAGAAGTGAAGCCAGCAGCAATGGGAAGCAGGACATTTCCAGTTATGGTTCCTTGTCTTTGGGATGTCCTACTCATGAACTTTTTCTGTGGTTCATTTCTGGCTGGAAATACCCCAAATGCGCTGTGTTAAGCCCCGGGAAGAAAAAAAGACAGGTCCAACACAGGTACTTAACTTCCTGCCTCTCTCAGGATTACAGCAGCCCAGAAGGTAGATTATTTCCAACAGTGGAAACAGTGAGGGGGGCGGTTAACCTTTCCTCTTCCAAATCTATGGCCTCAAGTCAAAACCCCCCCCATATGGATTGATTGCTTTGCCTTTTTATTGAACAGAAATATTTTTCAAGTAGATTTACAATAAGGCAGCTATTCAAAATACTTCGTATTGTTAAACTACCTTACCTTTTTAGCTAATTCCACAGCAGTTATATTTGGATCGTATCGAATGGGTTCTCCAATGTATGTCCGAAATTTGACTGGCAGTCCACCATATGGAGGAAGGACTGGTATTTTTACATGTTCATATAACCACCTTGTTAATGCTGTTTCATTAAAGAAAGAAATACCAGTCAGTTTACATTCAATAAAATGCAGATGAAATTAATTTTGAGAAATAAGTAAAAATATCAAAATACTTTAAAACTAAATACATGTTTTGACCCTATCTTGCACTAATAAGAATCTGGAGATACAATCTGTAGTCCACTGTAATACATACAAAGAGATATCCCATTCAAAAAGGAGCTGTCACTCACATCTGTGAAAGTGGTATCTCCACATACATTTCTTTTCATGCATACAAAGATGCCTCTATTGTTAAAATTGGTGGCGAATTCCTCATGTGCTGGAGATCACTAGAGACCCTGTATCTCAAAAGCTCACTATGCAAGAAGGATTTTTTGCACTAAAGGAAACTGCTATTCCAATGCAGGGAAACAGTTCTTCAGGACCAAAAGGAACATCTCAGCTAAAACAAACAAAATGAATTTTAACAAGGATAAATGTAAAGATCTGCATTTAGGTAGAAAAAATCAAATACATAATTATAGGTTGGGAGAGACTTGTCTTGGCTGTAGTATGTGCAAAAAGGATCTAGGGGTCTTAGTAGACCATACAATGAACTTGAGTCAGCAGTGTGATGCCATAGCTAAAAAGGCAAATGTAATTTCGGGCTGTATCAAAAGAAGTATAGTGTACAGATCACGTGAAGTGATGGCATTGCTTTACTCTGCTCTGGTTAGACCTCACCTATAGTGTTCAGTTTTGGCCACCACAATTTAAGAATTATATAGACAACCTGGACCGTGTACAGAGGAGGGCAACGAAGATGATGGGGTCTGAAGACCAAGTCCTATGAGGAAAGGTTGAAGGAGCTGGGTATGTTTAGCCTGAAGAGGAGACGACTCAGAGGTGATATGATAACCATCTTCAAGTACTTGGAGGACTGTCATGTAGAGGATGCTGTGGAGTTGTTTTCTGTTGCCGCAGAAGGTCAGACCAGAACCAACAGGTTGAAATTAAATCAAAAGCGTTATTGGCTAAACGTTAGAAAGAACTTCCTGACAGTGAGCGGTTCCTCAGTGGAACGGGCTTCCTTGGGAGGTGGTGAGCGCTCCTTCTTTGGAGGTTTTTAAACAGAGGCTAGATGGCCATCTGACAGCAATGCTGATTCTGTGAACTTAGGCAGATCACTAGAAGGGAGGGCAGGAAGGGTCGCATCAGTGCTTAGTTCTCATGGCCCTTTCTTACACACCCAGGGAAATGCTGATTACCAGTTTGGGGTCAGGAAGCAATTTTTCTCCAGGCCAGTTTGGCTAGGGATCATGTAGGGTTTTGTTGTTGTTGTTGTTGTTTTGCCATGTTCTGGGGACAGGGAGCAGGGGTCACTGGGGTGGGAGGGAAGTATTTGTGAATTTCCTGCATTGTGCAGGGGGTTGGACTAGATGACCCTAGAAGTCATTTCCAACTCTATGAATAACATTTAGCACATGCATGAATGATTTTGCTGGACTTGGACTTTTCCTCTGAATTTAGGATTTTGTTAGAACTTACTTTTAATGCCAGGTATTTAGGGCTGCAATTAAATAATAATAAATCTGTTCTACTCATTTATGTTCATGGACACAAGCTATTGTATTCTAAGATACAAACAGCCAAATTCAGAAGTGTGTGCAAGAAAGAAAATGTGCATATTAGCTTTATGTTTGCAAGGTTTTTCCTGTTCTTTTCAGTTATGGTGAACATATACATGAAGTAGCAAAGAAATAAAGTGAATGCAAATACTAGAACACATAGCAACTGGGTGTACACCTTAGTGCACAAATTTTTTTAAACTGTACTAAATAAAGACATACACATATATCTGAGTATTTTAAGAGATGAGGCTTCATCATATCTGTGAGCATTTTAACTGCTGCACATTCATACCAACAAATATTTTTATATTATTTTCCTCTACAGATTTAGGCACTAGTATATTTAACAAATTCAGATTTATGTTCACATGGCTTTAAGAGGTTAGCTGTAAATTTCATTTTTAAATGTGTCTTTAAACCAGACAAAATTGTTTAACAAAAGGTGAAAATTAATAGCAACATTTCCAAAAGCAATTTATTGTAAAGAGATGGACCCTACAGAACAACCCTAAACAGAGATGTCTTCCACATGGGCTATCTGCCCTGAGTTCAATGTTTTTGGGAATGATTTTTTTACTATTTCCCCACAGCATTTTGGTTTCCTCAGCTTTTCTCTGATTTCAAAACCTGCTTGCCTCCAAAGTTTTGGGAAAGACTGCAATAGAGCCTGAATTTTCCAGCCCCCCATGGCAGCCATTTCCCTGATCCTGTCCCCATGGCAGCCCCCCCCCCCAAATGGGGACTGGTTATTTTTTTTAATGTACCAGAATATCATAATATCAATATACTATTGTACCAACACATATAGCAGTTTCTCTAAATTCCCAGCCTTTGGTTTTTAAAAAGTAAGTCTTTTGCTCTTGCCTTGTGAAGATTTAAGGGAAAATTCATATATTTGCCAGGGAAGGAGGTAGTGGCTACACTTATTGGTATAACAGTAGACTAAGTGTTGAAAAAAAAATTGCAAACGCCTTGGGGGCCTAGGAGGTCACCAATTCTGGGGGACTGGGGCAGGGAAAATGCGGGGAAACATGCCACGGGGAAGCCCAGTTGCTGCTGTGCTTTATTTGTAGCCACACCAGCAACAGGGAAACCAAGAATCCTATTTCCGTGTGGAAAACACCAGAATTACACACTTTAAGCTCATAATGGACTTAGAACGGTGTAACTACTTAGGACTGCACTGATAATCATGCAAACTTTAAGTGGTTTTTAGAAATCTTTTAAGTTAAATTTTATTTATTTAGCTTATATCCCACTCCTCTCCCTGCCAAGCAGGGCTCAGAGTGGCTTCCAATAATTACATATACAATAAAATCAGCATATTACAATTCTTAAATCCACATACTACAACTTAAAACCTAACAATCAGTCTACTAGATGGCATCCCAACAATCCATGACAAGTGGGTAACTGGGGAGGCAGCTAGCACAGAGAGACTCACGGCCCAGCAACAAAGAGGGGGGTACAAATTAAAATAATAATACATTAAAAGTATTCCTTACTGATACTTCCAAATGTCCTAAATCCTTCACGTACATTTTGGGTGTACATTGGAATTATAGGCTAAGGAAGGAAGGAAAACATGTTAATTTAATGTACCATTTCTGAAGTCTATGAAATGCACATTCCTTGAACAAGTGTGTGACAGACAGACATTTCCACTATGGTAAATATTGCTTTCAAAAAATTAAGGGTCCTGCAAGTCCCACCAACCTCTATGGCTTCTCTCCAATCTACCAACCAGTATAGCCTATGGAAGCTGCTGCTATGTTCCATGATAGCTAAATAAAACTTCCTTGTTCAGAGGTGGTATGCCTTTGCATAGAAATGTTAGGAACAGACAGCAGGAGAAGACCATCACTTTCATGTTCTACTTGCAACCATCTAGAAGTATCTGCCCAGCTATTGTCAGAAACAATACTGAGCTTTTAGCCTGTGTATCCTTGGGTAAGTATGCATCAGAATGTTCAAAATGGCCAAGAGACAGAATAGAAGAAGAGACTGGATTTATACCCCGCCATTCACTTGGAGTCTCAAAGTGGCTTATAAACTCCTTTCCCTTCCCCTCCCCACAACAGACACCCTGTGATGTAGGCAGGGCTGAAAGAGCTCCTTCCAGGACTGTCCGTGAGAGATCAGCTCTGACAGAACTATGGCTTGCTCAAGGTCATCCAGCAGCTGCAAGTGGAGGAGTGGGGAATCAAACCTGGTTCTTCCAGATTAGAGTACGCACACTTAATCACTACACCAAACTGACTGTGGCTCCTCCAACAACAGGCTACATCATGCAGAGAGCCAATGACAATGCATAACCATTGTTATTGAAGCCCCTACTACTACCAGAGGGAGCACACCACCACACACACACACACACACACACAAGGGGAGAGTATTAGGATTGCCAGACATGGCCTGGTAACTTTGGAAAGAAGTAAACAACAGTGATGTACTAAGGCAAAAAAAAGTCTCCAAAGATCAGAAATTTCTTTTTCCAATATTTCAGTTTAGTGGAAGAAATTCAAACAGCATCAACGCATATTATCTCGTTATTTGTGCAGCAAATGTTCTCTTGAATGTAAGATCATGTTGGTTTTCTATTGGTGTTTCTTCTTTTTGATAAGTCTTTTTGAAAATGGGTGAAAAGCAATGGGTTTCTCATGTGTAAGATTATGGTGGTTTCTTAAATGGTGTTCTTCTCCCCTTGTCCTTTTTGTCCCAGGTAAAGTAGTTTTGTGATGATAAATGGCTTGACTGTCAAGATGGCAGCAATTACTGATGTATTTGAAATGGTAAAACTGTGTAAAACCTCATTTGGTTTTTCTACTCAGGGCATTTTGCCTTTGTAAATGGGATTTGTCCCTTTAAGATGCAGGTCTGGCAAGCAGCCGGCTGGCAGCAATTAAGGGTTTTAGATATGTATAAGTAAATAGGAAGAGTGAATTTACATTACACAAATGGTTTTGATGAGTGTCACTATGAGATACTACTAGAGAGTTTGTCAAATGGATTAATATTGTATGTTATATATCAGTCAGTTGTTTGTGCTATTCTCTTGCTTATACTAATAATAGAATTATATATTTTTAAATTAAATATAGGTATTTCAATGCTACTCACCTTGAAAAAGTTATACACGAAACGAGATAATATGCATGATCCGTTGTGTTGATGCTTTTTGAATTTCTTCCAGTAAACTGAAATACTGGAAAAAGAAATTTCTGGTCTTTGGAGACTTTTTTGGCATAATACATCACGGTTGTTTACTTCTTTCCAAACTTCCATCCCGTGATCTCTCTCTTTGTTTTGCATGGCCTGGTAACTGGCAGGAGATGGGGTGGGCAGGGACAATTGGTGAACAATGATGTCACTTCCAGGTCACACTAGACATGACATCATCGCACAAGGAGTAATGTTTTAACATTCTAGGGCACCACCCGATGTGATGATATCACCTCCAGATTGTGCTGGAAGCATCATTAACCCACCAGGGATGCTAGTTGGGCCCCCCCATTTTGCCAGGGAATTTCCTCCCACCACCCAGCTGCGCTATGGACGGCAATGGCAGCAGGAGGCAGGATATCTCCTGCGACCAGCAAGCAACTCTAGAGATCAAACAGTATCAAAAAGAAATGTAATGGGAAAGAATCACATTCCAGTGTACCTGTCGAGGGACAATATTCACTGCACTTGTTTTATGTGCAATTTGCTTAGTGTAATACATCTTAGCCTGATGAAATGCCTAAGACATCAAAACAGCCTGTACATGCCTTGTCTTGCTAAATGAATGCTACAGTTTCATGTTCAGTCATGCATAGAAATGCTGTGTAGCTAGTTCTGCTAATGTAAAGCTCTTTGTAGGTAATCTTTTGTATCTTAAAGTTCAGATATAATTCAAAAATTAAACAAATCAAGATCATACTGTTCAAGCATTATAAAAGACATTTATGAAAGTATTTCCTAATTATTGCAGAAGGAATTAAATATGCTAGATCCCTCTGCTCATCTTGTATATAGTCCATGGTTTATTTTGACTTCACTGGTCACTTGCTTTTCTTCAGAAAACAAAAACAGTTCTATCCCTGTTTTCTTTTGTTCTTATCCTCCAGGAAATCAAGACCAAGCTTTCATGAACTGATCATTAAGGAAAAACAAAATGTGTGATGTGAGATCATATGTGACATTCATTTCATCACCCTTGCAAGCAGTATCCAGTGACGTACTGGGGTGGGGGAGCTCACAACAGGATCATGTAGCATCATATGTTTTGATTTATGTAAGATGTTACTATGGAACAAGCAGGAAATATAGGTCTGCTGCTTTTCGTATCAGCCAAGCTTCTTCTGCAGTGCCTAGACCCCACCCAATTTCCTGTCATCAGATTAGCCTGATAGCATAACTGGGCCAAGGTAGAAACTGTGATGGCAGAAGGAATTTTTCAGAAGCAAAACAGATGTGTGGAGAAACACAAGCCAAGAAATCACTGTGAACTCTATGGTAAGTTAGGCTAGAGAGAAAGAATAGTACTTAAGAGACTTCAGTGGACTTACAATAGTGTAACCCTACTTGGGATGGCACTGATCATTTACTGTGATTTGCACATACTTTGTCTGGTCAAACAGGTTTCAGGGGGAAATTATAAAAAGTGACCGAATTTGTACCCAAGAAATAATTGGGCAATAAAAACTTACAACATGGGCAACTGTCTCTATTGTTTCGTCTTCAGATGTCTTTAACATTATTGCTTGACTCCAGCCAAATTGCATGACTCCAGGCTTCATTAAAAGATACAATTTTAAAAATTAAATGATCAGTTATGAAGTGGAACTCCACGAGGGTGGAGTAGGCAGGTCAAGCAACCATCATTGTGCTGCGGGTGGTTCTGAATTTTTATCTAGCCTCTTCTTCCATGATTAGCACTTTCAAAGACACAAGACAGTGGGCACAAGCAAGCAAAAATGGAACACTTTAAAATTTCACTAGTTTCAATGGGAAATGAAACTAGTATACGTCTCTCTCCTCTTGAAATGGACTCCAAAGTGGTTAATTTCTGTTGGATTCTACCTTAAATAATACTTTCCCTATCTTTAAATCATTTAGTGATTATGTAATCCCTTAATCATTTGTCTATCAATGCTAAAAAAAATCTTCACAAATGACATTTAAAAAACCCTATTGGCCCCTCACCTTTACCCTGACCTGGATAGCCCAGGTTAGCCCAGTCTAATCAGATCTCGGAAGCTAAATAGGGTTGGCTAGTATTTGGATGGGAGACCACCAAGGAATACCATGGTCATGACATGGAGGCTGGTGATAGCAAAGCACCTCTGAATGTCTCTTGCCCTGAAAACCCTACAGGGTCAACCATAACTCAGCTATGACTTGAGGGCACTTTCCAACCACCCCCTCCCACCTTTATGGTTTATGCTATTCTGTTTAACTCTTCATGTGTTGATTTCATTGAAAACATAGGCTGCCACTGTTTATCTCTCTAAATGTTATAATGGTAGAAAATCTACATAGTTTATGTACAGTGGAACAAGTAACATTTTATGGGTGAAAAAGCCACTGGGTTATATATAAATTAAATATTATTCAAAGAATATAGGGCCTTCCTCCTGCAGAGATACAGAACGGACACTTCATATTTTAGATTCTTCACAGTGCTATAGCTTGAATCCTCTGCAGAGGAATGGAACTTCCCTTGCCTCCGTCTCTGCTGCACCCCAATTTGGACCCACAAAACATTGCCCCCAGGGGTCATAGGAATCTGCAGTGGGAGGACAAGCCATCCTATTCCATGATCCAAGGAATAGCAGGAAAGCCTCACTTGAGATAACAGTTTTTAAATATAATCCTAATTTCACTTTCATTTGCTACAAATGTGTAAGGTAGGTCACTACTCTTTGGTTGGATAGATGTTCGTACTCCTTTTAATGAAGACTAGGAATCCATGTACATGAAAATAGTAATTTGACTGACTAATATGTTTATATAAGAAAATGGGTAATTGTTTTCATTTTGAACACACCTTGTTCAAAAAGAGAAACCTGGACAATACTTACCACTTTAGCATCTATGGCCACTTCAGCAAAGCCCTTACGTTTACACCACAAAAGCTTGTATGATTGATCACTGAACAGTGCTTCTCGAACTCCTCCTGGTGAAAGTCCAACTAAATGACCATTTTTCAGAACATTTAAACACTCCTCCTTTGTACCACGCATAAAACCCATCAGATCTATTAGTGGTTTAAGACCTGTAAGAATTAAGTATCATGTAAGTCATGCAATAATATACAAGTGCTTAACATCTGCATCCAGTATTGCCTTGACCTCTTCTTAGGCTTCAGAATAATTATTTTGATCTGGAAATCAGATGCAGCAATAAGAGAAGAAAGATTTAAGTGTCTGGACTATATCATTCATGCTCAAAAATCCATGATGATTAAAGAGAGATGATTTAGAAGGAATACTTTAATAGGAAAACCTTTGTCTTTACACATTTATCTAATTGGAGCTAGTGGTCAAGATGTCTTAAGATTTAGGCTACTTCTGATAGTACATTTTTGTCCATATAGTTAAGACTTGTCAGAATCATTAGCCATATCCCAGGGACATAGATGTGTTTTCTCTGAATAGTTCATAAAAGTTATGTTATACCATAAAGTTATAATAAATTAGGATACAACTGCTTTTGGGCACCCATGGAAATCAATACAATGCCATTTTGCAGAACAAGTTTTGGAATTCACCTTTTAGTATGGAAACGCTGGTGCAGTATTGCACCTGTATGTCCAAAGTAAAGCAGACTTTTGGCCTATAGAGAAGAATTTGTTGAGGATGGACTTTGAAGATTCATGTGGCAGTTTCTGGCTAAGTATGATATAGTTTTGTTACAAAAGACGTAGATGTTTATTAAAGTCTATTTTTCCAGTTCCTGGTTTCACTGGTGATTCCCTAGAGGCTTTCCGAAAAGCTAAAACAGTCCTCCTGAGTGAACCTCCCTTTGTGATGGCTCTCTTTTTGAAATTTCAAAATCACTCTTGCATTTTGATTAATGCATATAACCCTCCAGATGCACAAAAATCAGTATTAGCATACTGCTGGGACAAACTGAATAATTATATTCAGAAATTTGGAGATATGTATCCAAAGCCTTTGACTGTGTGGATCACAACAAACTATGGCAGGTCCTTAAAGAGATGGGAGTACCAGACCACCTCACATGTCTCTTGAGAAACCTGTATAAGGGTCAAGAAGCAACAGTTAGAACCGGATATGGAACAACTGATTGGTTTAGCATAGGAAAAGGAGTACGACAAGGATGTATATTGTCACCTTGCTTATTTAATATATATGCGGAGTACATCATGCAAAATGCTGGCCTGGATGAATCACAAGCGGGAATTAAGATTGCTGGGGAAAAGATCAACAACCTCAGATATGCAGACGATACCACTCTAATGGCAGAGGCAAATAGAAGGGGAAGTCGTGGAAGTAGTGACAGACTTCACGTTCCTGGGATCCCAAATCACCGCAGACTGTGACTGCAGCCATGAAATTAAAAGACGCCTGCTACTTGGGAGGAAAGCGATGGCGAACCTAAACAGCATGATAAAAAGTAGAGACATCACCCTGCCAACAAAAATACGCATGGTCCAAGCAATGGTATTCCCAGTAGTCATGTATGGCTGTGAGAGTTGGACTATAAGGAAGGCCGAGCGCCGAAGAATAGATTCTTTTGAACTATGGTGCTGGAGAAGACTCTTGAGAGGCCCTTGGACTGCAAGAAGATCAAATCAGTCAATCCTAAAAGAAATCAACCCTGACTGTTCCCTGGAAGGCCAGATAATGAAAACGAAGCTCAAATACTTTGGCCACCAAATGAGAAGGGAGCACTCACTGGAGAAGACCCTGATGCTGGGAAAGATTGAAGGTCAAAGAAGACGGGGACGGCAAAGGATGAGATGGTTGGACAGTGTCATCGAGGCAACGAACATGAAACTGAGCAAACTTCAGAGGACAGCAGAAGACAGGAGGGCCTGGCGGGATCTAGTCCATGGGGTCACGAAGAGTCGGACTCGACTGTGCGACTGAACAACAAAAAATCCATCAGCTGCACTTATGATGGGCATGGATGTAGGGATGGGCAGGAGCCAGTTCATGAAGTAAAGTTTGTCGAGAATTTTGGTCACTTCATGGTTCATGAAGCGATGTTCATGAAAGAAGGGTGCCCAGCATGCAGGGCCGGCCCAAGGTTGTCCTGCGCTCTAGGCGAGCACAGATGCCAACCTCCCGGCGGGGCCTGGAGACCATACCAGCAAAGTCGGTGGGCGCTCTCCGCTGCAGCCGCCCCTCCGCCAGCCAGCTACAGCGCCGCACCCTGCCGCCGCCGCGCATCCTCCTCCTGCAGCCGTCAATGCTCCTCCTGCAGCCGTCAATGCTCCTCCCAGCCCCGGCGCTCCTCCCAGCTGCTGCTCCTGGTGTCGCTGCGGGCCGCGGCGCCTGGCTCAATGGAGGGGCCTCCTGTGGGCTGCACGGCACCACTGCCTCCCTTGCTGGCCAGGCGCACTAGCGGTTGCCCCTGCCTCCACCTCCGCCTCCTTGCTTGCTCCTCCACCGGCCAGCTACAGCGCTGCGCCCTGCCGACGCGCATCCTCCTCCTGCAGCTGGCAGAGCTCCTCCCAGCCCCGGCGCTCCTCCCAGCTGCTGCTGCTGGTGTCGCTGTGGGCCGCGGCGCCTGGCTCAATGGAGGGGCCTCCTGTGGGCTGCACGGCACCACTGCCTCCCTTGCTGGCCAGGCGCACTAGCGGTTGCCCCTGCCTCCACCTCCGCCTCCTTGCTTGCTCCTCCACCGGCCAGCTACAGCGCTGCGCCCTGCCGACGCGCATCCTCCTCCTGCAGCTGGCAGAGCTCCTCCCAGCCCCGGCGCTCCTCCCAGCTGCTGCTGCTGGTGTCGCTGTGGGCCGTGGTGCCTGGTTCAATGAAGGGCGCTCGTGCGGGCTGCGCGGCACCACTGCCTCCCTCACTGGCCAGCGCGCCGGCAGCCGCCCCTGCCTCCACCTCCGCCCCCTTGCTTGCTCCTCCACTGGCCAGCTACAGCACCGTGCCCTGCCCACGGCACCGCACATCCTCTTGCTGCAGCTGGCAGAGCTCCTCCCAGCCCCGGCACTCCTTCCAGCTGCTGCTGCTGCTTGTGTTGCCGCGGGCCTGGCTCAATGGAGGGTGCTCCTGCGGGCTGCACAGCACCACTGCCTCCCAGTTTGGTGTAGTGGTTAAGAGAGCCAGTTTGGTGTAGTGGTTAAGTGTGCGGACTCTAATCTGGGAGAACTGGGTTTGATTCCCCACTCCTCCACTTGCACCTGCTGTCCCAGCCCCGGCGCTCTTCCCAGCTGCTGCTGCTGGTGTCGCCGCGGGCCGTGGGGCCTGGCTCAATGGAGGGCGCTCCTGCGGGCTGCACAGCACCACTGCCTCCCTCATTGGCCAGGCGCACCAGCAGCCGCCCCTGCCTCCACCTCCGCCCCAGCTACAGCACCGCGCCCTGCCCACGCCACCGTGACACTTCCTCTTTCTGCAGCCGGCAGAGCTCCTCCCAGCCCCAGCACTCCTCCCAGCTGCTGCTGGTGTCGCCGCGGGCCGTAGCACCTGGCTCAATGGGGGGCGCTCCTGTGGGCTGCATGGCACCACTGCCTCCCTTGCTGGCCAGGTGCACCAGCGGCCACCCCTCCCTCTCCTCCTGCGCCCTAACAGCCGGCTCACGCTCTAGGCGAAGGCCTAGTTCGCCTAGCGGGCGAGCCGGCCGTGCCAGCATGAACAGTCGATGAATGTTGGGGTTGTTTGTGGTAGTTCATGGCAGTTCGTGAATGATTACATTTTCCAGACAACCTGTCTCCGCTCAGTTAACTGTTTACAAAACTCCAAGGCAACAAGGGGGAGAGAGGAATCCTCTGGCCTTGGAAACACTGATAGGAGCCATCCAAAGCTTTACAGGCACTGCTGGCTGCCAATAATAAAGTTCACATTCTGCTCTATGGGATCAGAATGCTATATATATGCTCAGCTCTGCAGCCTCTCTTTGCTCTGCTGTTTGCATTTACACAGAGAGGCAGGAAACTTGTTAAAAGCAGAGTAGTAGAGCACATTCCCTCATGATTGGGAACTCCTCTCCCCTGCTGTGGCCTGGGGGTGTTAGGTGGACTCAGGGTTCTGAACCACCCCGTTTCTCTGCTCATACTGAGAAGAGGGGCTTAGTTAGTGGATTCTTCAGCTGAGGACCCACATTTTGATTGAGAACTCCTCTCCTCCACTGAGGTTTGGGGGTGTTAGGGCTCTGAGCCACTCAGTCTCTCTACTCACACTGAACATAGGGGTTTGACTAGAGGGTTCCTCAGCTGAGGACCCATACTTTGATTAAGAACTGCTCTCTCTTGCTGGGGCCTGGGGGTGTTAGGTGGACTCAGGGTCCTGAAGCACCCTATCTATCTGCTAACACTGAGCAGAGGGGCTTACTTAATGGGTTCCTCAGATGAGGACCCACATTTTAATTGAGAACTCTCCTCTCCTCTGCTGAGGTTTGGGGGTATTAGATGGACTCGGGACTCTGAGCCACCCCATCTCTCTGCTCACACTAAACAGAGGGGCTTAGCTTAGCTCAGCAGAGGACACACACTTTGATTAAGAACTGCTCTCCTCTGCTGAGGTTTTGGGGTGTTAGGTGAACTCAGGGCTCTGAGTCACCCCATCTCTCTGCTCACTCTGAGCAGAGAAGCTTAGCTAGTAGGTACTTCAGCTGAGGACCCACATTTTATACCCTCCCACCCCTCCTGACTGTGAACCCCTCTGTGCTGTGAGGGTGAAACTGGGTGCAAAGGGTGCTCATCGTGGTGGGAAGACATTCTCCATCCCCTGTATACCAAAGGACCCCATCTTGGGCACCATACCTACCCTGCCAGCACACTTGAACCCACCCCTAACAGGGCATCCCCAACAGTCTTCAAGTCTCCTTCCCCTGATCTGTTCCTGGGGCTCTCCACAGAGGACAAAGAGTTGATAGCACTGCATAAAGACCAGCAGTTAATAATATTCATTGGAGAAGTCTCTGACAACAGTGATTCAGGGGGGTGGTAAGCATCCTCCCCTTCCACACAACTCCCTGTTTCTGCTCCTGTCTCCAGTAAACCCCACCGTGGCCCCTCCTAGTCCAGTGCCAGAAAGCAGCTATCCCTCCTCCCACCTTCTTCAGCCCTGGGACGTCGTT